CATGTGTGAGCTTTGCAACATGTCTAAGCCATTTACACCTCCATGGCATGTGTTGCTCATACAAGTGTACTTGTGGACTAAATCACTTGTGTATTTCACATAAACACATATTAGTCCACCAAGGTTGTCACTCAATTACTAAAACCAAACTAAGGACCTTTCACCGAGCCTACTAAGGAAGAGGCCCAAACCAGACAGGTTGGAAAGCAAGATATTGGCTAGATAGCCTTATGAACCAAGAAAGTCATGTTGATCTGCTAGGATCTGATAGAATCTCCTTGTAACAAACTAGGAAACCATAGATTGATATCATTCAGTATTCCATCTGTAACCCTACCCTCGGGCTGTATAATGGGAGGTAGGGAGTAAGGATGAAAACGGTACAGAAATATTCCGAACCGACCGCTTTCGTTTTCTATATTATGATACCGTTTTCTATATTATGATACCGTTTTCGAATTTCGCCAAACATAAAAATTTGTCATTTTCAATTGGTTTCACAACCATTTTTCGTACTCTTTAATTGCTAAAATGTAGAAATATCCCAAACTGACCGCTTCCGTTTTCTATATTGTAATACTGTTTTCGACCGTCTTCGACCGTTTTCATCCTTAGTAGGGAGACACATTCATAGATCTACCATTCATAGCTAGGAACCCTTGACGGAATCATTTGTGACCCTATAAACCCTAGACATACGACATACAAGAAGCATTCTCCACTAGATGTAGGGTAACCCGTATAAATTTGTGTATCGTGAGCTACCCATTTGATTACATGTGCACAAAATGTTGATCTACTAGTCGGACGATAAATTCTATGACATAACCCAACCGCCTTACTAAGAAAACAACACATCAAAGCGAGCACTTATAGTAGCCAATTTGAAGGTCTCTACGCAAAGCAAAGCAACAATGCACTTTTGTTGACCACTTTGTGCCGCATCGGTCTCTTGCCAACTTTGTAGGCACCTTTAGCACATGGTGTCACCCTACCATCACCCAACAACCACCACACAGAAGCTCTCCAATCTCGCACAAATGCCCTCGTCAGGACCGAAGATACACACACGCCCATGCAGGGTCTATTTTCAATGGGGAAAATATCTATAAGGGGTTAAAAGTAAAAATATATACATGACACATGCTGGCTTGTAGGGATGGCAACACCCCGCAGGCTTCGTACCCGATGGGTGTGGGCACGGGCATGAAAACTCACCAACGAGTACATAAGGGTTGGTACCAGCAAAGATACGAATAGGGTACGGGTAGACTTTACCCATGGGCACCTGGCGGATACCCACAATTTGAGAATATATATGAATATATGTCACCTATGTCATATGCATATTATGTTGACTAGCTTATTTAACATGTAATTTGTAGCATATAAATAACATATCAAACTATAAAATACGATATTTCTTTATGGATAACTAAATAAAGTGATTGTGTGAGCTATTAACTTGTGTGAGTTAGTTTGTGCTATTTGTATGAGCACGAATGATTGAATTATGAATCTATGATGTATTCTGGCTTGTGAGTTATTGTATATTGTCCTAATAAACTCTATGTAAGAGATATTGATATATTTACCTATCATTTAACTATGAATTTATTATTTTATATCACTATGATTTTATTATTTGATCTCTCTTGAATGTACCCGACGGGAACCCGTCGGGCGCGATGTATGAATTTTACCCGCGAGTATGCTTACGGGCGGATAAAAGTTAGGGTCGCAGGTATGCTTGTGGGCAGGTAAATGCTTTACCCAATCCGCTGCCATCCCTAGGCTTGCCATGTTAGCACGCGGTGTATCACTTAATAAGTTTAGATAACTTGAAATACATTTTCAAAGTTTATGAACCTATGTGACATGTCCTTACAAGTTTGAGTGCCACTAGTGCATTTAACTTTTAAGTATATATCATATCGCCCACTCTAGGATTTTAGTGACCGGAGATGATATACAAGAGAAATATATACTAGTCTAGAAGAATCCTTCACGATTCGGTTCTTGGTGAATTTGGCATTACAAACTTATGGTGTGTTTGCTAGAGCTATGACTCCCGCTAAAACTGCTCTGGCTTCAGCTTCTCTATGGAATAGCTTTCTTTGGCTGGACATCTCTAGAAGAACATTTAGTAAAATAGCTTCTCATGATAGATAAAAAGTGTGAAATATCTATTATATCCTTATCTTTTTCTCTTTTTCCTTTATTTTTTCTTCCCTCCTAATTCTCTATTCTTCTCTCTTTCTTATCCACTAGCCCCTCCCTGACCATGCCACCTCCCTCTCTTCCGCCTCAACACCAGTGCACCGCCCTTTCCCCCTCCCTCCGCCTTGCCTCCATCTGCGCCTCCCATCTCATTGCTTCCCTTCGTCGAGGCTGGTGCCAGCGTCGTCGAGCTTCACATCCTTCAATGCCAGTGCTAGCGTCATTAAGATTCACCTCCGAACGCCGCCCACACCCACATCGCCATAGAGGATGGAGCTAGACGAAGCTATAATTTTCAGTTCCTCCTCCATTGTTGGGCACGAATTCTGGGCAGAGGTGTTCCCCCTTTGGTTGGCGGAGTTGAGAAACTTACCAAACGGCCTTTAGCCGTAACCAATTTTATTGTGGCGTCTCATGTTGATTTACGTAGAGCATAATAACACAGACTTAGTAGTAACCAATTTCATTCATGGCTTGAAGGTTCGACAGTCTGACTGACCCCCGCTCTTGTTGCCGAGCAGAGAACCTGAGATGCAGCCAAAAGGTTGGAGACATGGTGACGAGGACAAAGCGTCTCATATATGGATCGAATCACTAGTCTAATCTCGTCACTAACATAGGTTATCGGCTCGGGGTTGCCATGAGAGAAGGCAGAAGAGTAAAATAAAGCAAGTGGCAAGCTAAACAAAGCTGGATGTCGATGTCGATGTCGATTAAACAATGCTCTTCAGCTGATCGTGACAGAGCATTTGCTTCCCTATGCATCTGAGACCGAAGGAATTCGCACGTGGTTTTAGGAGCAGGTCCAGCCCTCCTTCAGAAAATGGCCAGTGGCCACCACACCAACCATAAACAAGTTCTGCTGCATTTGCCTACCAGAGTACTCCTACCAGAGAAAGAGGATTTCTCCTAATCTAATTGAGATCTGGTAACGCACAGGTCAAGGTCCACACGGCCCCAACCCCAGGTTGAGACGCGGATCTAGCGGCCATTAGCGGTCAAAACCGGAGATGACACCATGCTGACTGTGAATTGTGATTGGCCAGGCCGCCAGTGCGCCGTGGTGGCCCGGCGAGTCTCCTGTCCTAGCTACGAGTCCCGGCGCCCGCCCACGCGTCGGCCTGATATCGTCGGAGCACCGGCGCCGCCGGGAAGGCCGAAGGCTGGAACATGGTTTGTTGCTACCCGCCGCGCGCTGGCTGTCTTTTGCCCGGCAACCTCGGGACAGGCCAGAGTGTGCACTGCACCACCTGCACCTGCACCTGCACCTGCACATCTCCTGTCCCCGAGAGGCCCCCGACTGATTAGATACTCTCTGCGTGCCTAGTACACGCATCCACCTCAAATTATTTCTCATATATTCTGTTACCTCAAAATAATACATAGTTCTCATCAATGTTGTCCTAAGTCCAAATCATCTAGTTTCGATAAAGTTTATAAAAAAAAATACACTGACACCATCGTTGTCAAGCTATTGATACTCAATAAAATATATTTTGATAATGCATTTTATGTAAATGAAAATTCCATGATCCAGTGTTTTTAAGATGAAAAGGAGATATTGCTAAAGTGGAACCATTTGCATTCATCCCCTTGCAATTTGACTGAATGATCCTCCGGTGTTTATAAAAGATAAAGGAAAAAAGGAGAGGTTTACCTCATGACAGTGTTCTGTATATAGATAGTCATCACCAAGATGAAAGCTACAATGCAAACGTCGGTCAAGTTCTTGCTATATGTCAAGAAAGGCAATGAATTAGGTGATGGGGACATTGATACCTTCCATGATAATATTGCTAATTCTTTGTTTTGATTACTGTGAGGCTTGGATGCTATCCTTGATGTCACAAGACATGATTTGGCTATCGAAACTTGTTTTTTTTAATGCATCTTTTTTACATATATTTTACATACCTTTTATTTGTTTCATGTTTCTGAACCAGCTACGAGAAGAATATGCATCTGGTGACAACGTACAAGTACATACACACCTTATTAAATACTAATAACCGTGAAAAAAAAAGATTTAGGAACAATAATAGAAACGGATAGCTAAAATCATAGAAAGCATATAGACACTCAGAATAGCTATTGTCACTACAAACATTAGACAAGAAAAACTGACGACCAGCCCATCCAAAATACATGTCCAACAACCTCAGCTTGTAAAATTCCAGTTATTCAAAATCGACAATCCAAAATCAGCTTTTAGAAATCAACAGAAAAAACGAAAGGGTCCTGGAGTACTATCTTCTAGTGGGTATTTACAGTTTTTTTTATTGGAGAAGCAACATTTACTAACTAATGGCCTGTTTGAATCAGCTGCACTGCAGCTGCACACAGTAGTTCGTCAGAGTACGCCTACAGCAGCAGCTTTAGCAACAGCCGTTGCTTTAGTAAAAGCCAACACGCCCTAATTTTTTCCCCGTGAAGATATACAATGTGCACACCTGCTCAGTGGTGGAGCGTGAATCAAAGTTAAGGAGGGGCCAATTATACAACTACATGTTATTTCACAAAACTGAAGATATACCAGATCAGTAAATATGCTATGGTGGCTTGCACATCAGCATATAATTTTTTACGGGACATGGGGAAAACTTATACATACATCACAAAGCTGAAGATATACCAGATCAGCTATGGCTTCAAACGAAAACATATACAAAGAGAGCAGTAAACATATTTTCTGACAGTGCATGTCCAGATGTCCTAAACACCGCAGGATGGTTATGGATGTGTTTACTGTATAGTAATAGATGATAGATCAACCAGTCTGCTTATTCTATGAACCAACCCAAATCCAAAGGCTCGAACCATTGAGGCTCCAGTTGCTCAATGAAATCTGTTTTCAGGTTATCGGATGCCGGCAACAGTACAAGTGAAATCGAAGGGCTAGCCTCATTGCTGCTTCTGGACATCCGAGCAGGTGTGTCCTCTTGAACACCTGCGTGCCCACCATCTGATGTTGCAACATCACAATCACTGATGGCCGTGAGCAAGGAGGAGATGATGGCATCATTTTCTTCTTTTACCAATCCGTGGCCATCAAAACAGTGGGTCAGGCTAGGTATTTCCACCTCTACCTTTCTCAAAGAAGCATCGGCGATCTGCTGGATGTGTATAGATGAAGCCATGTAATCTGAGACATGGGTGCTGCAACATGTGTGCTCATTTGTGTAGATTACCCGGAACAATGGCGGATCCTGGGAATTGGTTTGCTCCACATGCTTGGTTGCTGGGCAGCCATGGTCCTGATGGTAGTACACCTATAGTAGCACCTGCACGCATAGACATCAGGAGTTGTTTAGAGTTCACTTTTCCATGCCCTAGGGAAAATGCTCACAAAAGAGGTCGCCAACATGCATGTAAAAGCCAAAAACTTGACACATGACAACACGTGGCGTTGTCCGCCTGGCTCAGAATAGTTAATCATGCCGACATGCATTATTAGCTGCAATGGAGGATTCCAATGCAGGCATGCTCTGGATATCATACTCCAATGCCGGGAGTTTCCCCAAGTACTGGACATCACATGCATACACTAGAGGATCTAACATCACCAATACTTACTGATAATGGTAGTACACTACCTCTAATATGATACTTCATTCGTTCCAAATTATAAGTTGTTCTGGCTTTTATATTTACATAGTTTTTTACCATGTATCTAGACATAGTATAAATCTAGATGCATAGATAAAGCTATGCACCTAGAAAAATCGAAACTACTTATAATTTGAAACGGGGGGAGGAAGTAAAATTTTCCTACATGTGCTTTAAAATAAGAAAAATTGGTAGCTGTTAGTTAAATATAGATTCGACTACTATAACTCAATAAATTTGACAAAAGAAAATTCCATTCATAACAGTTACGTAACAAAATTAGTTTGTACACCACTACTCATACATATGCTGATCTGTACCTTCAATGCTACTAGTTACTGTTTAAATTTTTTAAAAGGAAAAGTTGCATCCTATGCTAATCGTGGTGTATTGCTACCTGCCAGATATGAAATGTGCCCCCTTAGCTTGCTGACAGAATGTGCACCATTCCAAAGTATCCGGTATCTAATTTAGTACCATGTCTGTGGGTGTATGTTTCTTTATAGCACTGCATTCCTATGGATTCCAACGGTTTTCTAACTCTTTGGCAGAAATGCAAAGTTTGGAAGTCCATAAAGAAAATCAACCTAGCTAAAAACATGACTCTGGCCCCATGCACAAATTGAATGCATTGCATAATATAATTGATTCTTCTCAAAACCTCATGATGTTCAATATCCCGACCTTCAATTGTTCGCTGAGCTTGCATAAGCTACAAGGAGGAAAATATCCGCGATGCATTTTAGACAAGAGTTACTTTGAGAGAGAGAGGGGGGGGGGGGCGCATGGTTGAAGACAGGGGAGCAAATTTAACCGTTTGTCATCTATCTGCAGGATTATTTGCACACTCCTGTGTATAGAAGCATTAAATCATAATGTGGACGATGATCACCATACTTGTGTGCTACTGTTCTTTATAGTGTTATTAAATCGGACGAGTAATCCAAACCCTAGACCTTGATTAGGCACTTCGATACGATTAGGTCTACTACAAACCTAGTCGTCCGACTAATCAGCGACTAAATCATGATTATAAGTTGTCTGATTAGAGGCCTGTGGATGACTAACCGGAAGGACCAATGCTTGAACAGTTGGGCTAAGTACTTTGGTCCAACAGGTTTTCAGTATATGGCTGTGTTCTGGACTAGACTCCAGAGTTCACGCTCATGCCGCCGCAAGAGGAGCTTAGCACCGCCAACTCTCATCCTCACACGGCCGGCTCGCATCCTTGCTCCACTGCTGGTTATCATCATCAAGCTGCTCACCGCTGGCTCCCACCAGATCCATTCATCCCCAAGCCGCCGCCGGATTCTGCCAAATCCGTTATTCTCAAGCCTCTGTCAGACCATGAGAGCGAGCTAGAGACACACGCAGCTGTTGGACATGGAGCGGTTGCGGGCCACGAAGCTGGTCAAGCAGCGGCAAGATCAATGCATGGTGTTGGGAAGTCCTGCTACTCTTCCTTCGCTAGTCAAGTCCTGATCTTGTTACCGCTCAAATGCAAGGACGATTTAGTAGATTTGTACAGCATGATTACTAGACTAATCGAATATAATCGATGACTAATCATAATTAGTTGTCTAATCGGTACCGATACGACTAGGTTTGGTTATACGATTTAATAACACTTCCTCCCTCAAAATATATTATATTCACATTATGCATTTGTATAAAAACCTAGTCCTAGACAGCAGGTCATTCATGTTGTATCAACTCATTAGATGGACCCACTAGTATTGTACAATGTATCGCCAATCATCCTTTTTAGAAAATACTATATCATCAATCATTCTAAAAAAAAAAACAAATAGCAGAACCATGGTTTACTCAAAAGCAAGTTGGGTCTGGAGAGCATTAAATACCTCATCCAGCTTCTGCATGCTAATTAGGAAACTAATTATAATCTATACTTAATGTTTCGACTTGTTTTTTCGGCAAAAGGAACGGGGCCCAGAAAACTAATTCGTGTTCTGAGTCGTTTTGACTTTTTTGGTACATTCATTTTGCTATGCATCTAGATATAATAATATGTCTAGATACAAAGCGAAATGGATGAACAAAAAAAATCAAAGTGACTTATAATTTAGAATGGAGTGAGTAGTAAACAAAGTGCACAAAAGCAGAGTGTGTAATGATTCCCTCAGCATATGGTGCTTAGCTCTTTCCTCTTTTTCCCCTTGGGTTTATTCCTCTTCTTAAAAATTCCCATTCTGGCATGTGACTTTTAGCTACACGACAACATAAAGGTAAACGCTACAGCCTGAGAGGAACCGGCTGCTACTGGAAGACAGCAACCTAATAAATCCTAAGTGTACATGCACCGGATTTTTTTTATTGTATTCCCAAACACACTTGCCATTAAACTATGGTTATGTGACCAGAAAGCCAGCTTTCAGGCTTGGGAAGATAAGCTAACCAAAGCCAGATCAATCACGTGTATTATAGCTAATACGGCAAGACTGATCACGTGTACAGTAAACGTCCACTATTTACAGCTAGTGAGCTTCAATATTTGGATTTCCTATGTTAATTTAGGCAAGGGATACATCTTCACTTATATCTCTGCCGTTTTTAAGCTCTTCTTGGATCCCTTATTGTCGGGTATCGATATTAGGGATACACAAAGCAAGGAAGTTAGCACCCACACTGACTTCCTCGGATGGAGCAAGACGTATTAAAAGGCCTCGCCCGACCCCAAGGCCGCGGGCTCCATCTCGCCTGATCCCTCGGGTGCGGGCTCCGTCTCGCCCGACTCCAAGGCCGCGGGCTCCGTCTCGCCCGACCCCACGGGTGCAGGCTCCGTCTCGCCCGACCCCTTGGGCTCGTGCTCCTACGGCCCATTTAGGCCCAGTAGTTCGAAGGCTGGCCCTCCGACAAGTTCACAGCCGCTCCGGGGCGCCCTTAGAGTGAGGGGCGGAAAGGGATGGGCCTACTAGCGGCCAGTACTCGGGGGCACAAGCGCCGCGGGCATCCCGGCCCACGTTTGAGTCTTGGTCGGTTCCCAATCCATGGTTTTTCCTCGGAGAAAGGCAACGAGCCATCGGGACCGGTCGAACAGACCCGAGAACTATATGAATTGGCCACTGAGAATCTGGAGTCGATCACCAGCTGACCCATGCCAGACCCCCACGAGCGGGAAGTCGGGGCCCCACTCGGACTAGCCTGTTAATAGCTCACCGAGCACCATGTTTCGTTCATCGAGGAAAAACGTGGTATGGCTCAGCCCCTCCGTTTTATCGAAAAAAACGCTTGAGGGACGATGATCACAAAGACGAGCCGACCCTTGACCGGCCCCCTGCTACGCGTGGGGGCTCGAGGAAAGTTGGACTCGCAAGGAGACCGAACGCGCGGTCGCAGTACGACGACGGACCAATCGGATCCTAGGGGACCGGAATCAAGAAAAATCTTTCCGACCTTCCGAATCTTACGGTTACATGCCCCCAAGAAGACCGATCGCGACAAAAGGGAACCGCCGTTCTATCAGGATACGCCACGGGCTACAAAAAGAAAGCCAAGGCCCTCAGAGTCCTCCCGTCCGGAAAAGCCTCCAAAAAAGTATTCTACTCCTCTGCAGGCTCGGGGGCTACTGTCGGGTATCGATATTAGGGATACCCAAAGCAACGATGTTAGCGCCCACGCTGACTTCCCTAGATGGAGCAAAACGTATTAAAAGGTCTTGCCCGACCCCAAGGTCGTGGGCTCCATCTTGCTCGACCCCTCGGGTGCGGGCTTCGTCTCGTCCGACCCCTCGGGTGCGGGCTCCGTCTTGCCCGACCCCAAGGCCGCGGGCTCCGTCTCGCCCGACCCCAAGGATTCGGGCTCCGTCTCGCCCGACCCCTTGGGTGCGGGCTCCGTCTCGCCCGACCCCTTGGGCGCGGGTTCCGTCTCACCCGACCCTAAGGACGCGGGTTCCGTCTCGTCTGACGGGGACCCATACCGCCGCCAACCACTCCAGGTCCAAGCGTATAAGTCTGGGTCAAAACTCTGACACCAGGAAAGAGACTGGCACGCATCGATGTAACCCGTGGCCATGACGGGCCATACCTGAGGATTCACATCAAGAAATGGTGTCGGGCGTGTCGCGCGTGTTGTTTTTTGCCTAACCTCAGACGAACACGGCGACAAAGCGTCGATTCACCACGACGTCCGCGGGGACGGAATGGAACGCCATGACCGGCAGGCAGATGCGCGCATGCGCCGGTGTGATTTAACAGGGGCAGCGCGTGGAGCCGTCTCTGTTGACATCTACAGGATCGGCGGGACCCGCATGAAGAAGAAGGACCCGGCGATCCTGGAAGTCTTCTTCTCTCTCGTTCTTCTCCTTTTCCTTCGCTGTAACCCGCGCTTTCCCTTCGCCTATAAAAGGGGAAGCAGGGCGCCCCATGAAAGGGGGCCGGAGGACGAGATAAAAACACAAGAGCACACGGCTGAGCGGCAATCGAGCTCTCAGCACCCGTTCACTTATTCCACCAGAGACTTGGGATCCTCTCCCTCTCTCGCCTGTTTGTAACCCCTACTGCAAACCAAGTGCCGGTAACACAAGCAGCAGCGAACTGGACGTAGGGACATTTCGTCCGAACCAGTATAAACCCTTGTGTCCTCCGAGCACAACATCCAAACCAAGCGCACAAATACAAATTCACT